GGGGGGATAGGATCGGGATGGGTGGGAGGGTCGGGACGGGTTGAGAGGTTGGGATGGGCAGAAATGGTCGGGGAAAGGTTGGGATGGGCGGGTGGGATAGGCTCAGTTGGGTTGAGAGGTCGGGATGGGCAGGTGGGATAAGGTCAGGGAAAGTTTGGGACAGGCGGGTGGGATAGGCTCGGGATGGGTGGGAGGGTCAGGACGGTTGTAGCGACGGTTTGCTAAGACCAGTTGCAACATACGGTTGCTGTAAGCGGTTACAGCAACCGGTTGCTGTGACCGGTTACAACAACCGTTTGCCAGCCACCGTTTGCAGTAACCGGTTGTAGCAAGAGGTTGCTGTAACCAGTTGCAGCAAACGTATTGACCCTGTCCCGCCCATCCCGACCCTCGTTACAACAACCGTTTGCAGGGTCAATAGGTTTGCTGTAACCGGTTACTGCAATCGGTTGCTGCAAACGGTTGTTGTGACCGGTTACAACAACCGTTTGCAGCAACCGCTTACAGCAACCGTCTGTTAAGACCAGTTGCAGCAGACGGTTGCTGTAAACGGTTACAGCAACCGGTTGCTGTAACCGCTTACAGCAACCGTCTGCTAAGCTGTAACCGCTTACAGCAACCGTCTGCTAAGACCAGTTGCAACAGACGGTTGTTGTAAGCGGTTACAGCAACCGGTTGTTGTAACCGCTTACATCAACCGTCTGCTAAGACCAGTTGCAACAGACGGTTGCTGTAAGCGGTTACAGCAACCGGTTGCTATGACCAGTTACAACAACCGTTTGCTCGTCCTTGCAGCAACCGGTTGCTGTAACCGCTTACAGCAACCGTCTGCTAAGACCAGTTGCAACAGATGGTTGTTGTAAGCGGTTACAACAACCGGTTGCTGTAACCGCTTACAGCAACCGTCTGCTAAGACCAGTTGCAACAGACGATTGTTGTAAGCGGTTACAGCAACCGGTTGCTGTAACCGCTTACAACAACCGTCTGCTAAGACCAGTTGCAACAGACGGTTGCTGTAAGCGGTTACAGCAACCGGTTGCTGTGACCAGTTACAACAACCGTTTGCAGCAAC